AAGGAATTCCTAAGAACCAATTTGAGTTTTTGGAAAATTTCAAGTCATTGATGATGGTCTATGGATGAACACAATGAATCGTACAAATTCATGTTACAGACCATAGAATCGATTTGTAGAAGTGATGCAAACTTAGTGATATTTTGGGCACAAACTTAGGTTTTGGGGGTTGGTCCTATAGACCGTATAAAGTTCCACGGACCATAAGAAGGGTTTCGTGGAACTCAAAAAAATGTTGAGTTTTAGTGACGATTTCTACAGTTGACCAGGATGGTCTGTAGAAAGTCTTACGGACCGTAGGTCCAACCGTATACCCTGTCCGACAGATTTGTATTAAAGGTGTTTTGATATTCTCCTGCCTAATTAACTCCTAAGCTATGTCGTTTTGGCCCTACAAATATTTTTACTCTTTAACACCTAAATCATTGTGTCCCATTTAATCAAATTCACAAATTATCTCAAAGAATTTCTTGTCCAATTCTCTTTCAAGCTCCAAGGAAGAAAATTAGGGTTTCAAGAACTTCAATATTTTCTTCTCCATTTCTTTTGGGTTTTTATTTCTAAGGTATGTCGGAATTCACCAGTGAATCTCTTTCGTCGATTGGGTTCCAAAAGAAAACTCAAATCTTCAATTCAATTTCACCTAGTTCTCTTAGAGTTTTATGTGATTCTTCATTAATTCAATTTTATTGTGATTCAATTACTTATCTTCAATCTTATTATGCACGATTTGATACAATTACATGAGTTTTCATTGATTTCACATAAACACGTCCCTATGCCTATACCTATTTTATTGATATGAATGATAGGTTATGAATTTATGAATTATGATCATGTTTTTTGAAAATGATGACGTAGGACTAAACAATTCTTTTAAGATAAAGTGTTAATGATTTGTGAAAGGTTTATCACATATGAAAGAGATCATGATTTAGATACTTCAAAGCAAAGTGACTTATGAACAAGTTTATGAAATCATGATTTTAAAATGAGTTACTTTATTATGAACTTATGATTGGATTGATTCTTTTTATTGTTGTCTTTCCAATTATTTTGATACGATTACGGCTATGTCTTTTTTCTTTGGGATTTACTTAGAATTGAGAGGACTTCGAGGTGTAGTCTCTATCTTTAGTAGTGGTCGAGTGTCTAGAAGAATTCTCCTTCTCCTTAACTATGTGCCTTGTAGAATTGTTTGAAATGACATAACTAGTGGATCTACTACAGCAATAATTAATGAAACAGAGTTCTACCATGACATGTAGGTTCTCATTTGGTGTGATGGTCAATATCAAATTTCATGTTATAGATCATATGGTATTATTGTCAGTTACATGTAAATATCCACAAATGAACTATGTTTTCTTAAAAATCTAATGAAAGCATTTCTTTAGGATTTTCAAGTATGCATTGACCTTACTCGTGATTTATGATTTTCTCTCTCATAGGGCTTTTATTATGTTAACTTGGTCATGGAATCATCATGCTTACATTTTGTGCATTTTCTCCATACTTAGTACATTCACCGTACTAATATATATTTGTGTCTATATTATCTTATAATATATGGTGTGATGCTCCCCCCGCCCCAAACGTGCTTATCAGGGTTGCTCTGCTTGATTGCTTGGATTGGTGAGTCATCATGGTCCGAGGGCAGTCATGGATACTTTATTTGCTTTTATAGTCATTTGAATTTCAAACTTGTACATGGTGCATTGTATATGAGTTACGTCACAATGACTCATACAGTGTTAGAAAGTCTTATATCACACTTATTAGTGGTCCGCGTATTTGTTATTTGTTGGTATCAATTATGTCATCTTATGATTTTCTTATTTGTTGGTATCAATTATGTCATCTTATGATTTGAGATTTATATTGATTATATCTCTTGAATTGTTTTTTACCACGTCATGTTTATGTCAAGTGACATATTTAGGACATCTTAGGATGTTATTTGTCATGTCACATCTAGGTGTACTCTGTATCGTGACAGTATAACTTGATTGAAGAATGATACATCAAAATAGACCAGACAAAACATATTTCACCTAAATTCTTTTTCATACATGATCATAAAAAAAAATTGTGAAATAGAAATTCAACAGACCAGTTCAAATTACAATCTTGCAGATTTATACACTAAGGCATTGTCATGTCAATATTTGAGAAGTTATGATATAACATTGGAATACATTATCTCTAGGATATCAAATAAAGTTTTCATCATATGATGAAATACACATTGTACTCTTTTCCTTAATCATGTCTTGTCTCAATTGGATTTTCTTAATAGATTTTTAATAAGGCAACATTCAGTACATATTATAATATGATTGTACTCTTTTTTTCTCGCTTAGATTTTCGTTTTTCTATTAAGATTTTAACGAAGCATATTATATATGAATTATATCTTAAAAAAGTGTTGTAAATTCATTAAAATTTGAATTGTTCATTTACTTAATGTATGTGAACTGCTTATATCCATTATAATATACACTTAAAAGACATTTGAATAATGACATCTCTAATTCTATTCTACATATCTTTGATCTATATTCTTTTACAGTATACTGTTTATTTCTTATAACAATTTCAAATAGTTTTATGAGATTGCACTATAATATCTGGGTTTTTTTTTAATTAAAATAAAGGGAACAAGCATGCATAGTAAAGTCAGGCGAAAAGTGAATAAGATAGTTTTCATCTTTACTTTGTGACGTTATTTTCTGGTTTTTCAGATTTTGATTTAGTAGTTTTCAGTACTGGTTTTCAAGAATTGTTTTTCCGTATTCATTCTTTTATTTGTTTATTAATTTGAGAAAAAAATATTATCATAGAATTTTGAATCTTAAGAAATAATATTAAAAATAAATAATTAAGAATCATTTGCTCTGAAACACAAGGTATAATAATCTCAAGAATAAAATACAGTGAATAAATTAAAACTTTAAATTTTTTATAAAATTGAATTTTTTTTAAAATAATTAATTGAATATATACTAGATAAAAATATTTATAATTTTTTAATTTGTTAAAATAAACATGTAAAAAGGAACAAGTAAAAAAAGAAAATTAAATGATAAACAGAGGGAGTAGCAACTATTGTTAAAGAAAGAAAATATTATATTTTTGTAAAAAGGAACAAGTAAAAAAAGGAAAATTAAAAGGTAAACAGAGGGAGAGGGAGTAAGCAACTATTATTAAAGAAAGAAAATATTATATTCTCTGCCCCAACAATAACTTTTTACAATACTAAATATAATTGTCCAATAATATTAGTCTAAATTTAAAAAATTAAGAAATTATTTATTTTTATTTCTATTATATTATTATCATTAAATACTTTCTTTGTTTTTAATTAGTTATTCACTTTTGAACTAACATATTTATTAAAAATATATATAATTAACATTGTGAGTTTACCATTTTGCCCCTTTTACTTATGAAGTGGATAAATTAAAACTTAAGATTGTCAAAAAAATTGTCATTTTTTAAAATAAAAAATTGAAGAGATAATAAACTAAGAAATATTTTTTCTTAATTTAATAAAATACACAAATAATTAGAAACAGAGAAAATATAATAGTCATCTAACATCTTTTTCAAATATTAAATTTAATAAAATCAAAAATCATATTATAATATTACTCTATTATTTATTATTTGTGATGTATGAAACTTTTCGAACAAGAGTAATATTGAAAGAGGGAATAACAAAAATAGGGCACAAAACACAGCATTTTACGTTGAGGCTTGTAGGTTTAAAAAGTCCACTTCAACTTTATTTAATGACTATGTTTTGTGTGGCTGCTTTGCTTAGAGATGGGAGAATCAGAATTAGCAGTGAAAAGAAAAAACACTTAATTAATTGTTTTGGTGTATACATTGGAAAAGTGCAAACAAATTGTCGTAATAAATAAAATATGTTTTTTTCATTTAAAAATCATCCCCTTGTTCTTTAAAAAAAGTCATAAATCGGAACAACAATTATTTTGATTTACTCTTTTAAACTATTATTTATTTGTGACTTATTTATATTTTTTTATTTGAAAAAATAAAAATTATAAGAGTAAGATGAGAATATTTTAAATTAATTTTAACATAATTTTATAAATTAACAAGTACTAATTTAATATAATTATCCATAATAAGATAAACAATTAATACAAAAACTATGTTAAGAAATATACTTACGATTAGGAAATAAGAACTATTTTTATGAACTTGTTATTAACTAAATAGAATCTATTTAATATATTTTCTTGATTACATAAGAAATCACTTATGGAAATTGTTACAAGTTTGCAAAAGATAATTTATATTTTTATTGCATAATATACCACGTATTTTAAACCAAAATAATAAAGTAAAAACACCAAATATAAATTGGAGGGAATGTGTGGTATTTTAGCGGGATATAAATTTAAGGTTTTTTGAAATTTATAGCTTGTGTATATCTTTGTACCTAAAAAAATATCTCATAAAAAAGCTAATGAGAATTTAAAATTAAATTACTTTTTATACATTTAAATAAGTGGATGAAATGAGCTAGTAGTAGGTAATAAAGTAAATAGGCGTTTGACATGAACCTGGTAAAACTGGGAAAAAATATTGATTTGGACAATTAAGTTAAACTTTTTTGAAAGATAATTTTACTTTACAGCAATTTGTTTTAAAAGTAGTAAAGCTTTGTGAGAGAATTTTCATTGAACTTACTTGAAAATCGATTTTGTTTCACGCCATTAAGTTTGTTAATGTAACGATCCACTAGTCGTTTTGAAAACTAGGACTATTTTGATTCCTTTTGAATACTTAAAGGGGTATTTTTAAATTATTCGATAACTACGAGTATCTAGTTGATGAGAATTTATTAAATAATTAACATAGTAATAGTTAATGGGGCATATGTATAAATACTTCTTAAAATTTGACTTATACAAAAAAAAATAGATTAGAAGGTTATTTTAGAAAAGGAGATAAAGGTTAGAAACTACCTGTGGCGGTGAGTGCAGAACGTGAGGGACAACAAGATCTTCAGGTAGGAGGCAAATTGGAAAAATTTTCTTGATATTTTTATGGATCATAATGATATTATGTCAACGGTTTATTATTACTTTGATGGGTTATGAGGTTTTGAATTAGAGTAGTGCGAGAATATTATTGTTTAACTTTTCCGTGGTTGAAATTGAATTTTTACTCGTTAATATGAAATTTTAATGGCCATAGTTATGCAGTGCAGATGGATTGCCTATTTATTAATATTATCCTTAGTGGATAGGAAAAGTTGATTGGAATAGTTACAGGGAACAAAATAAAACGAGTGGCAGGGAATCATTTAGTTTGTTGTTTCTTGATAATATTAGTAGTATAGGTATTTGTAGGTAGAGAGTTGCAGGGAATCATTTAAAGATCATATTAATGTGTATTAATGGAGGGGGAAACTTTTGGGTTTAGGCGGTCACAGTTTGTGACCAGCGATTACATTTTTAGTTGTGAAAATAAAATAAAATAGAATAGTTTGGTCACATTGCAAATTCAATTTAATATATTGAGATAGGTAATTAATTATTAGGTGTATA